CTATCCAATTATTGTATTTTACTTTATACCAAAAGAAACGCAAGTTCTCTATGACAGATAAAAAAACAAACAACAAAACCCTAAGGCTTAGCAGAGGAGGCTTAGATTTCCAAATTAATTTTTTCCTTAGTAGTGCGAAAGGTCGCTAGGAAAACAAACATGTGGGATATGTTTCTCCCTTCTGGAGGTGGCCTCTATGTGATGTTTCCATGATGAGACTAAACTACTGAAATCATCCAGGGCTGGAGACCTTCTCCTTCCCTGCAGGATAATGCTCTAATTTTGAGGGAGGGATTCTGGGCAGAAGCCGGACAATTAATTCTTTCTATTTGTGGCATCAGAATGAAAGTTTGGGAATTGCTTCTGGTTTTAAAGCTCAGCCCACCCTTTCCCCCCTCAGTCACCACGTGCAATTATTTAACCTCCACTCGGTCCCTCCCAACCCTCCCCTCGCCCCATTTTTGCTCGCCCTCTCTTACTCCTCCTATGAGCTGGGAGGGACTTGGCTGCCAGGACACTTGCACTCACCTTCCAACAACGCCTGGGTGCCCAGGTCCAGTTCAGCTTTGACTCCAACTGCACCTTCACAGCTGTTGTGTTCTGTGCTGTGACTTTTCTAGGTCTTTTGTAATTCGAGTGTGGTTAATTTTCAAAGTTGGAAACCAATTCACACTTTGCGTTATTGAGTCCATAGAACTAGGTCACTGCAGGGCCACATAGTGAGCGAGGATTATTTCTCCTTATCTGTGGCTTTACATTTCTAGCAGCAAGGTCAGATGCCAAACAGTCTTTGCTTGAAGTGCCTTTAGAGCTTGGCCCCCGAAAGGTAAGCAGGAGAAAGGTTTTATTCTGGGGAACAAGAGCCATAGTAGAAGCCTTAGTTCCCCTAGAACAGCTAATTCCATGTCTTTTGAGACAATTCTTGGGTTTTATGTTTATTTTTTAAGTTTTTTATTCCCAAGGTACGTTTGGATGAATACCTGCTGGGAAGTGCAGGCTGGTAGCAGCTGATCTGTAGGACCTTCCAGTGTTGGCCCTATTTTCAGTGCCTCCCATCCTTCTCATTCCTACCCTCCAGCTCAGTGACATCAAGCTTACAGCCTCTCTCTCCAGAGTCCTGCCTCCCCCATTTCACCTCTAAGCCTCCTCAATATAGGTCAACATGCGCTCCATCCATGTCCCATTGCCCAGAAATGTGCTGACAATTCCAATGCACTTATTATCTCCCTTACGTTCTCTTGGCTCATGAGTTAATTATGTTTTTGTACTTCATTACCGACATTTAATAAGCTCTCATGAAGAGGAGACGAAAGCATAAATATGGTCTGCCACCTTGAACTAAATGATAAATGACTTTAATGTTTTTCTACAAAACAAAGGTGGTGGAACTGGTTCCTACTTTGGATATTTTATTCTTACTACACGTTCACTAAAGTCAGAATCATTGTCTCCATTGTTGATCTTGATTAGCCTTTGATATTTCTTTACATTGGGGCCATTCTATGTTAGCTACACACTGAGCATTTCTAGGAGACTTGCATTGAGCCAAGTGCTAAACAGGATCTGTATGGATGACACATATGGATCAGGACAGAATAAAAAAATAAATTTCAGTGCTATAATTAGTAATATCCATGTTCCCATTTTAGTTGCCTTTTATATTTTTCTATTTGTATTTTATTTTGACCATAATACATCCGGATCCCTTCAGTCATTGTGTCTTCTCACTTTTCTATGCCCAAGTGTGGTCCTCAGAATCTGCAAGTGCTCAGTAAACATAGCTGATGCAATTTTGCTTGCACAGCAGCACCATAAGCTGTGTTCAGGGGAGTGTATTGGTAGATGCTCAATGAAAACTGGTCGAATACAATACCCAACTAAAAGAAATACCATAAAGAGAACCAAAAAAGAAAGAAAAGGCAATTATTATTTTTTAATGAAGTTGAATGTCTTATTATTCGACTGTTTCTTGTTTTCCTGCAAAGTTGTTGCTTTACTGCATAAAAACAGCACCAGCAAAGGCAGTATGTTGCAAAATTAAGGTAATATTGTTTGTCAGCTGACACTGTACAACTAATAAAAACTTGTCTCCTCTGCCAGTTATTTCCAATGGAAAGATCATTAAGTATTTTGACCCAAATCCAGAGATGACTGTAAACAAGTTACATTATATAAGGCTTATGACAATATTACCCTTGAATTATATAATTTTTAAAAATCCGCACCTTAGGATATTTTTCTATGATTTTTAGAGAGAGAGGAAGGGAGAGAAAGAGAAACATGGACATGAGGAACATTGCTCGGTTGCCTCCTACACTGGCCGACAGGGGATCAAATCTGAAACATTTTGGTGTCTGGGATGATGCTCCAATCAACTGAGCCACCCACCTGGGGCACTTGAATTACATAATTTTTATAGCTAGTTGTTACCACAGATAATTTCAGGAATTCTGAATATTAAAACTGTAGCCTAGCCTAAAAATCAGACGGTGTTGAGAAAAGACGCATAGCGTTCATCAGCAATCTTTAGAAAGCTGAGTATTTTCTTCCAGGATCATTGTTGTAGGTAGTTTTTTTCCATTAGTACTGCTAAAAGTTGCTATTTTAAATCTTCTGTCCACCACTAATTTTAGACAATTATGCTAGATCAAGTCGTTTCCTGCTACTTTATTCAGGGGGTTCCATTTCCACTCCTCAGTAGATTTTATGTTTCTTATATGCTTCTTCTCTCATTAGTCCACCTAGTTCTGAAGATTACTCAGTGTCATCTTCAGCGCCAACCATCTTCATAGCAAGATTTGTTGACAAGTCCTGGATTTTCTGCAAGAGCTTCATTAATTCCAGTTACTTCTCCTGATAGAGAACAGAGTTCACTAGCAGCTCTCATACTTTCCAAAGCACCAAACTCACCCTGTTGGTTCAGTTTTGTCCCAACTTCAGGCAGACTACAGTAAACATCTCCCAAAGCGTCCTGTGCAAAACTGCTGAGTCCCACTGTTCCAATACCATTTTCTGTTGTTACCCATTCATGTTTCTCTGTGAATTTACACACAGAGTAGATTGGCACTGGTGCACACTGGCCCAACAGTGCCACCCTCAGGCCCCAGGGCTGTGGCCATCTTCACAGTGGCAGTTATTAAAAACACAAGGGTATCTTTTAGAACTGAAAGATCTGGATGATCAGGTTAAAAGTGCCAAGAAAAGCTTTGTATAATGAACAAAATGTAAAAAGGCCCACACCAATGCTCATTATCATGAAATTTCAGTTAACCAGAAGTAACAAAAATATCCTAAAAGTCCCTAAAAAGAGAGAGTAAGCCATGTTCATAGGACCAGAAATCAAAATGCCATCCAGACTTCTCAGCAGTAATGCTGGAAGCTAGGAGACTATGGAACAGAAACTTCAAATTTTTGAATGAAAATTATTTTCAGTTTAGACGTCTCAGCTAAACTCTCATTCAACTATGAGAGTAGAATTAAGACATTTTCAAACATGCATGGGCTCAAAATAATATATCTTCCATCCATCTTTTCTTAGGGAACTAGTGTGGCATGTGCTCCATCAAAACTAGGGAATGTAGCCCTGGCCAGTGCGGCTCAGTTGGCTGAGCACTGGCCCATGAACTGAGAGGTCGCTGGTTGGATTCCCCATCAGGGCACATGCCTGGGTTGCAGGCTCGATCCCTGGTAGGGGGCATGCAGGAGGCAGCCGACCAATCCATGTTTTTCTCTCTCATAGATGTTTCTCTCTCCCTCCCTCTCCCTTCCCCTCTCTCTAAAATCAATTAAAACATATATTTTTTTAAAAAAACAACAACTAGGCAATGTACCGAGAAGAAAAAAGATACGGAATCCCAGAGAAAGGAAAGAAGGTCCAATGATGGCGGTGAAGAGAAATAGCATGATGACAGCAGAGCAGCAGAATTAGAGAGCAATCTGTCCACATTTGAGGGAAAATGGCAAGTTCCAGAGGACTTTCTTTAAGAAAAATATGAGTTATAATAAAGAAAAGGACTTTTATTGCTTGGATAGTGTTTGAAGGTAAACTATTGTTGGTTATATAGGAAATTAAGCAATAAGATGGGACAAATATCAACTCCAGGAGAAACAAATTGTTGTCTAAAAGAGGAAATGTAATTGTAGTAAATCAAATAGCCTAGCTGTAAGCAGTCAAAAAGCAGCAATTCTGGATATTCATTTAACCAAAGATTGTGATAAAACTTTGATTCAACAAATGGTGCTGAGACAAATTAATATCCACATACAAAACTAAAATGAAATCCAACCCTAGTTACCTCATACCACATACAAAAATTAATTAGAGGTGTAACACTTGCCTAAATTTAAGAGCTGAAAATATAAAACTTCTAGAAGAAAACATGGGAGAAAATCTTTGTGACCATGAATTACATAGGATACAATTACTGGGAAATAATATTTGCAAAACATATATCTGATTATAGACTTTCATCCAGAAGATAAACTTACATTTACCCAGTTATCCCACCCCTCACCTTCTGCCTCCGGAAACCACAAATCTGATCTGTTTCTAGAATTTGGGTTTTCTTCTTTTAGATTTCACGTATAGTGAGATTATACAGTATTTGTCTTTTTCTGTCTGACTTATTTCACTTAACATAATGCCCTTATGGTGCATCCGTGTTGTCACAAATGGCAGGATCTCCCTCCTTTTTTATGGCTAAATAGTGTTCCATTGTTTACATATGTACACCACAACTTTATCCATTCATCCGTCAGCGGACACGTAGGTAGTTTCCACATCTTCGCTATTGTAAATGATGGTGTAAGGAACATGGAGGTGCTGATATCCCTTTGAGATAGTGATTCTGTTTCCTTCAGAGAGACGTATACCCAGAAATGGGATTGCTGGATCATATGGTAGTTACACTTTTAATTTTTTAAGGAACCTCCATTCTGTTTTCCATAGTGACTGCACCAAGTCACATTCCTACTAACAGTGCACGGGGCACACTCTGGGATCATCGTAAAGGACAGAGGTTTAGAAGCATTTCGTTGCTGTAGTGATCCAAACCCATGTACCTCACTTCTTCATCAAAATTCCACTTGCTGCTCTTGCCTGGCAGCGAATACTGATGGTGAGCGTAAGAGGTATAAGTGAAGAGGAAGGGGTCTTCCTGAGGCGAATGGCACGTGCTGGAAGGGTAGTAGTTGTTAAAATCCATATGCACCTTCTCTTCATAAAGATCGCCCCCTGGATTTGGCCATAGTGGGTGGCAGCCAGTTTTGGCCACAGGTGGTTCCACAGGAATCTGCTGGGAAAGGGGTTCTAAAGAGTTCTGGGGAGGGGAGAAGTCATAAGGCCAGCTGGTCTGGGGGAAAGGGTAACTGGGACACCCGTTGTCATTGAGAGGATTTCTCCCCAGAGCAGCGTTTTTATTCCATGTTTGCAGATCATTGTAATCAGAGAGGACTCCAGAGACAGGAGGCTGAAGCAGGTCTCCGCTGCCGTAGATCCGACTATTGGACGCTTTGCATTTCTCATAGAGCTCAGTAGGGCCCACGGTAGAAGTGGGGTCTGTCAGCTCAGCGGCTCCCCCCAAACCATAGCTCTTAAATAAGCAATCATTCGGTGACTTCTGCTGGGGGGTGCTAGCCGTTAAATGTCCACTGTCACTGCCAGGCAGCTGGATGCCTTCCTGGAAAGACCAGGTTAAAGGTAAACTTCCCCAACTTTGCGTTTCACCTGGAACAGACTGGAAAGGAAAGTGAAAAGCTCATGTTAATAAGTTACGCGGGTTGACACAGCTACCCCAAGCACCCATGAGTTACTCTGTACAAATAAGAGCCCTGCCCCAGCTTCCTCACTGCACACACGCTTGGGGCACAGACGCCACCACTCAGGACCTGACAGAAGTGAAGGCTGCTTCCATTTCCACTGCAGATCTTACTAACCAGCAAGAGGCAATTTCCCCTCACGCTCACATTCCTGTGTTTAAACGTTTCCCCTGCAGATGCAAGCCTGATATCCTAAATGCCTCTGTGAGAAACCTAGAGGGGCTATTTAAGAAGAGTAAAACCACAGCTTCAAAGATTTGTCTTATACTCAGTGCAGCTCTCAGGGGCTCTCTCTTTCTCTCGTTTCCCTCCTTGACTTTCTATTTTTCAGTGCTATGTGTAGTACGAGAGAGTAGGGTGGTTATTATATTTTTTCTCAAGAGACCCCTCTGAACTCATTTTGTTGAATCATAAATAAGACTTCCAGACTATGAAGTGGTAAATTTATTTTTATAAATAGAGGAAGTATATTGTCCTCCAGTTAATCGAGAATCTGGTTGAGAATTAAGTAATCCTCGTGTTTATGTAAAACTGTTGACTAATAAGAGATGCAGGTGGAGAGGCTATGATCAGGCAAGAGTGAGTGGAAAGAAATGCCCATGGCTGGGAAAAGGGATGCGGTGCCAGTTATTTGGATTCAGGGCTTACATTTCCTGACAAGAAGCACTAGTTACCTATTTTTTAAAATGTAAAGTACATTTAGAGCCTCCAGGGGTGGACTGGCTCCATATCTGTCCTCCTATAAAGAAATGTGGAGCATTGAACAGTAAAAAAGTGTAGGAGTTACTATCACTATTAAGCAGACAAACCTACAGTGTAACCCCCATGAAAGCAGGGACTTCACATCACATCCACCCACCCCCCATCCTGATGACCACTGTTTCCAGAAACTGCTTGGTTATTTCATCTTGGTCAAGTGTGCTAAGGAAATACAGTTGACCCTTGAACAACATGGGTTTGAACTGCACTGGTCCACTTATATGATTATTTTCAGTAAATCCCAGTACTGTTTTTGATCCAGAGTTGGCAGTCTGCAGATGCAGAGGGCCATCCGTCTGCATTGACCTCCACCATTCTATATAGGGGATTTGAGCATCTGTGGATTTTGGCATCCATGGGGTGTCCTGAAACCAATCCCCCATGGACACCGAGGGACAACTCAAGTTTTGGGGGAGTCAAAAGTTATATGCAGATGTATGACTACTCAGGTGTGGGGTAGTGCCCCTAACCCCTGCATTGCTGAAGGACCAACTGTAATCTGTTTTAGGGAAGAAAGCATCAGGCTAGTATCTGTGGGGATCATTTCAGTTAATTTCAGTTCCATCAGAACCAAAATATAGAGTGTCAAATACAGGTTAAGTACTAATTCCAGTCTTTTTTTCATTGTGGTAGGGAAAATGATTCTAAAATTATATAGAATGTATTTGAGAGCATAGAAAGATAACAGAAATTGAGAGGAAACCCTCAGGTTCAGTTTGTGTGGCAGATGCTGGCTTTTAGGTGAGCCTGGCGGGATATGACTTCTGCTTTCCTCTGTAGGTAAGGGGCTGGAGAAATCTACTGCCCACCACAGGGGTGTGGAGTTGCCCTATGTTTTGAACATATCTGGGAAGAGGTTACCTTTGCCTCGGGGCCCCTGTTCAGCTTTAAGGTGATGGAGGAAGATGCCAGGTTCACTTTCTTCATTGTTCTTCTGGCCTCGGCTTCCAGTTTGGTTTCTGGTTTTGGATGATCGTGTTCTCCCTTTGACTTAAAGGAGACAGATAAAATAAATAACCAGACGTACTTCATGGTGTGCAAAATTTTACCCTGTGCCCGGCCATCTGACTGGGTGCTGCTACAGTCGAATATTGTAACAAGATTGGCTAAACCCTTTAAGTACCTCCCAAGGGCACCGCGCACTTTCCTGCCTGCCTGTTTTTGTCTACGATGCTCCTCCTTGGCATGGTGTGTCTCACACACGTGGCAAAGTTATATTCATAGGGATACCAAGTAAGGCCTGTTACACACGATCTCATTTAACCTCTAGCCCAAGCCTGTGGGGCACACATCATCATTATCATTCCCAGTTTACAGAATGGGAAATTGAGGCACAGAGAGATTAGGGCACCTGGGCCACTTCCCCTAGTAAGTGGGTGAGCTAGGATTCCAAGCGCTGGAGCCGGCCAAGCCGAGAGCCAATTGTTATAGATTCGGGAATTCTGTGAGCTGATTGTTAAAAACAACCAAGAGCTTGAAATCGGCGACAATGGGAAGAGTTAGAGCGCAGAAATGGGCAAACCCTGCAAACCAGAACACTTTCTTTGGGAGGCCAGGATTCCCAGCACTCCACAGCTGTGAGCCCAGGCAGCTACTGCAGAGGCCACTCCTCGCCACTGCGTAAACCATCACCCAGTTTTCACTTCCCAATATCCAGGTCTTACAGAAAACTGGGGCTCAGGGGGTAATGGGTTTAGGTTTACAGGGCAACTTAGAAGTCGGAGCTGCTATTGAATCTAGGGTTTGTTCGTTGGAGGCTGCACATGAGGCGGGGCTGCATGAGGCAGGGCTGCTGGCCTGAGCTCCATGAGGTTACTGACCCCTAAAGAGCCCGAGGCAGAGGCCCCAGCTGCCCTCCGAGGGCTCGGCACGGGCACCTCCGCTGAGGTGTGGGGTACAGACACTTGCTCGCCCAGACTGTGCCTCGGGCTGGTGTTGGCTCCTGTTCACCTGGCATCTCTGGTATGAAACTCCCCCTCGCACTCTGTAAACATTTCTTGAATTAAAGGGAAAAAGCATCTTATCACTCTAACTCAAGTCCAACCTGGAAAAATATGAAGCGTCCTTCATGCCTCCAGAAGTTGGTGACCGGGAAGCCCCCATGGCCTCGGCAAGGAATCAGCTTCAGGGGCCCATCGCAGTTGGGGCAGCGTTTCCCTACGAAAGAGCAGAAGAAGGTGACCATGCCACTGAGCCACGCTCGCTGGCTCCTGAGTCTGCAGCCCTGGTGGCGTTAGCCCGGACACCAGGGTAGCAGAGGATACGCCTGGGAACTCCCATCAACTGGGCAGAACCCCTGGCCCTAGGAAGCCTGACTACCATAAAGGCCCAGATCAGTCTCACACGTGGGTAGAGGAAGCGGCCAATAGGACGGGATATTTCACAGGTCAGGAGAAAGCTTTTTCTGAGCAGAAAATCCCTTCCTACTTACTTACTGATACTTAGAGAAGAAGACAAAATTATTTTACTTCACCATTAGAACTAAGGGTCAAGGGGCAAAGCCACATGGGAGACAGAACACAGCTACTAAATTTTCACTAACGTGTAAATGACTGACATTAGATCCTGCCCTGAGAGCAAATCTTGAAGACAAGTTATAAGGAAAGAACATGAGGTCACTTGAGGTCTGAAATGGGAAAGGCACAGGGAATGCTGAGTGTATTTCACAATCCGATGAATGTGATAAAAAAAAAAAGAAGGAACACATATTTAAGCATGTGATTATGGCACGAACCTAAATGTCATGGAATTGAGTCTAATCTCAAATTTAGTCCCAGTGCTCACACTGCAGATCAAAGCATTCCACGAGATCAGGTAGGGACCCATTCCCCAAGAGATCAGGAGGCAAGTCTAATAAACAACTTTCTCCTAAACTTTATGTGGGAGCAGTGATGAATTAATGATAGCCCCATAAGTGAGGCATTTTCCTTTTAACAGAGGCCTTGAGTCAGGTGCCTTAACCCAAGGTAGCAGTTTTAATGGTAGGTGCTCTGGCCACAGGAGACCTGTGGGGCAGTCCCCCTTGGGGGATGAGGGGGGTGGTTGGTTCTCCTTAATATGTTCTACATAGAAACAGCCTTGGTCTCCACCACACTCCAGTGTGAAGGTTGGGCCCCTGGGATGTGCTGGGATGTAGTGGCCCATCTGGGCAGGAGCATTTGAATGGACGCCAGCTTCCTCTCCAGCGCCAGCGAGCCCCACTCACTCTGCTGCTTCTGCCGGGCCTTGTCACAGATCGCAGGTCTCAGGTAGATCTTGCGGCCCTCCTTGGCAGAGCAGTCCCGGCTGCACACCACCACGCCCAGGCAGGACTTCTTGAGGATGCGCGAGTTGTGGTTGTTGGTGTTGCGCATGGCCCAGCTGCTCAGGTGCCTCTGTGCGTTCCTGTCCTCTGAGCTGTAGATGTACTTTTCGTAGGAATCCGGCCATTCTTGGAACCAGTCAGTCTTTTTCACATCCTTACAGAAACACAAAGAATATTACATTTTAAGCTAGAAGACACAACTATCCACCACTGTGGCGTCAACAGACATGAAGGTTGTTTTGGCACTTAAGAGCTCGGTGAGAGACCTTTGGCAGAGGCCAACCTGGGTTTCACTGTGGTGAGATCTGAGAAAACAGCCCAGCAGCAGCAGCAACATGACTGCTGTGTCTACTGAACCTTTGCTCCCTGGACCAAAAGGAGCTGTGACTCAGCCCCTCTGAGTTCTACCTGATGGCAGCTTCTCTAGCCCTTGGTGATAAGAGTTATGACCACTTCTCACTAAGAATTTTTGAGGGTGAAGTAATATTACTGTGCTCTGACACAATTAATGTGGAAAACATTGTGGTAGGATTGTGAGATCATCTCATACCACCATGCAGTTACCTTATTAAGAATGTTAAGATTAAAAAATAAAATAAAAAAGAATGTTAAGATTTATGAAAAGTCACCAGCAGTGGGAAGCCTGGAGAGCCCTGGTGCAGGAGGATTCTGAGAGCCGCTTCCTCCCCTGCACAGATGTCTTCCTTTTTCTCTACTCCCATTTCATGTGCCTCAAACAGGGAGAGGAGTAAGGAAGAGTTTACTTTGACTGGAAGCTTCTATCTTCCTGCCCAGGACTGGCACTATTCCCTGGGCATGAACATCTAACTAAACTAAGACACTCCATCATTATAGCATAAGATATTTGGCTTTCTGTGCATCTGTTTCTTCTTTCTTTTTTTTTTTAAAGAACTTATTTTTTTAATGTTTGTATTGATTTCAAAGAGAGAGGAAGAAAGAGAGGTAGAAACATCAATGATGAGAGAAACATCAATCGGCTGCCTCCTGCACGCCCCCCACCTGGAACTGAACTGTGACCTCCTGGTTCATGGGACAATGTTCTACCACTGAGCCACACCAGCTGGGCTGTGCACCTGTTTCTTCATCTGTGTAATAGGGATAATAGAATATGTCGAAGAACTTAATGAGACTCTGGGCAAGTGAGTTTGTCTTTGAAGCCTCGTTTTGCTCTTCTCTGAAATGGGAGCACTGATAAAACACACTTCAAACAGTACTGTAAACAGCAGATCTGTAAGCCTTAGATGATGAGAGTTGTTTGAATGGAATGCCATGGGAGCTGAGGTAGGTCTGAGGAAATATGAGAGGTTTTATGTATATGAGAGGGCAGTGGTGAAGAGCTTGGGTCTGCAAACTTGGGCCCATGGGCCAAAGCCAACCCACTGTCTTTGTAAATAAAGTTTTATTGAAACACAACCATGTCCAGTCATTTGACTACTGTCCATGAATACTTCTATACCACCATGGCAAAGTTGAGTAGTTATGGCAGAGGTTGGATGACCAACAAAGCCTAAAATATTTACTATGTGGCCCTTTACAGGAAGTTTGCCAGTTCCTGGCTAAGAGCATGGCCAAGGAGGCAGATGGCCTGTGTGAGTCTTAACGAAGCTCCTTGCCCTCTCAGTGCCTGCTTCCTCCTCTGTAACAAGAGCACCTACCTCACAGGGAAGTTATGAGGATCGAATTGGCTAACATACCCAAAACGTTATAACAGTGTGGACATAGCAAGTTCCACATTGGCATGAGTTATCTCTCTACTAGACCTAGGCCACACACAGCCAGCCAATGTGACTGTAAGAGCCACCAGCTTTCAGGAGAGAAAAGACCCACAGAGAGGCTACTTCATGCTTTAAACCTTGTCAAGCCAAATGCAAGACAGGAGTCCAAGCGCCTGTAAAATAAAGCCTAATTGATGCAACTCTGGTTCCACCACCTTCCTTCTGAGGTCAATGACAGCAGCTGGCCCTTCGAGGAACTACTGTGGTTTGGGAAGGGGAGGTCGCCCCAGAAGAGAACGGTGAAAAGACATAAATCACAGGAGGGTGGCACCTGGAGAAGAAGTCCTCTCTAATCCACCCAGCAACTACTTTAGAGTTTCCAAGAAAGAGGCACAGCCAGGCCCAGATGCTGAACAGACTGTCTGCTTTCTCCAGGTCTTTCCCTCTCTCCCTCAAGTCCTGGGTAATTCTGAGCAGGATAAAATTCAGTGCCCCAGGGTGAGAGAAGCAGCTCAGGGAACCTCCTCCTTTGCTGCTTTCTCCACCCACCTCTCTCCTCAGCCTTCTGACCTAAACTCCAAATAAGCCTCTCTTGTTTTCTGTTGCCGAAATGCCACAGAAAGCATAACATTTTATCTTCTGAAATAATAAATATGAAGGTTAAAATGTTAAAACATGTACCTTCGTCTAACAATTTGGACTGTAGAAATCTACTGGTGGATTTGAATTACCCAAATTACAGAGCACGGTTGTCAGGGTAGCAGAGACAGGGGCGAGCTGGACTTGGAGAAGCTGAGATTTTCATGTTTTAAAGGTGAGTGGCCCCTTTAGGCTGGTCAATGGCATAAATACCATGAGCCAGGAGGAGGGGAAGGGATTTAAGAGAACAGCTCAAATGTTCATGTTAAAGCAGACTCCCTGTTCATGGAGGAAAAAATATGATCTCCACCAGGTGTCAGTCTGTCTCTCTGTCTCTCTCTCATTTTCTCTTAGTTTAATTTATATTTTGATCTCCCTTGAGGCTCTTTGACCCATGGATTATTTAGAAATACGTTGTTTAATTTCCATGTGTTTACAGATTTTCCTGTTTTCTTTTACTATTAACTTCTAGTTTGATTCCATTGTCACTGAAGAACATACTCTGTGATTTTAATTATTTTAACATTCTTGAGGTTCGTGTTAGGGAATCACAATACATTCTACTGCCTTTTAAGCTTTTTTGAACAGCCCTTCCACAGGCACCCTAGATTTCCAGTATCAATAATGCAACAATTTTGGCAAAGTATGAACTTGAAATTACTAGGAGTAAAAGTATTCAAGCTATTCTCCTGGCTATTTATTTATACCCAGTCTTGACCTGGATGCTTTGTGGAATCTTTGATATCTTTTGACATTGAAATTAAGGAAAACACATCACAATAATGCAAAGGAACCCAGGTGTAAAATGAATGACAGCAATTTTCTGAAAGCCCCCTTTTTTTTTAATCCTCACTTGAGGAAATTTTTTCCATTGCTTTTCAGAGAGAGTGGAAAGGAGAGAGAGAGAGAGAAACATCGATGTGAGAGACACATCCATTGGTTGCCTCCTGCACACGCCCAGCCCAGGGCTGGGGATCAGCCTGCAACCAGGGTACATGCCCTTGGCTGGAATCAAACCCAAGACCCTTCCGTCTGCAGGCTGACACTCTAACCACTGAGCAAACTGGCCAGGGCTGAAAGCCTTTTAAATTTAAGGTATAGGAGAGATAAAATATAAAAAGAGAGAATAGTCATTTCTTAATTGTGTTTAGCAAATACCCACAAAATATTTTCTTCTTCTTTTTTTTTAGATCTTTTGTTTATTTTAATTTCTAACTTTTCATGAGTAACTCTTTGTTTTTCCTCTTGGTTAAGAAGTTTACAATTTAAGGAGAATATTCTTAAGGTTTCCAACATGTAAATCTAACTAATTTATATTTTATAGTCTCATTGGTAATATCACTGGGGGCTTAATTCATGTTTCTATGACTTCTGTGTGTCATTTGTTACTAAGAGACTTAATCCCCTAACTCACTCAAAATCTTTGAAACCCTGTGCAATCATAGCTCACCTGCATCCTGTCCTCATTCTAATTTACTTAACTAGAAGTGTTAATAGGGTACCTTAAGAATTAAATATATACTATTATATAAAACAAATTAAAATCAAAATTCTGAAATCAGGCATCAAAAATATCTACATTATCATGTTATTATATTAAAATTTATTTTCATTTGGAATATAGTCTAGTCTCATGTAAAGCAATTATCTACCAGGTTTTCCTTAATTATAATAGCTTATTAATTCCTTATAAATAAATATTTCCAAATAAAACAGGAATAGCAAACAGATACACCTTAAAGCAAATCAGATAGAGGGGGAAAAATTAGATGTTACTTATGAAAAAAACAATTCAACCAGGATTTTGGTTGACATGAAACTTTTCAAGAACTTATCTCTTCTGAGCCAAATGAAAAACAAACTCCAAGGATTATCAAAAAGAGAAATTCAATTCAACAAAATGCTTAAGTTAAGTCAAGAATTCCTGCTTAGGCTAAACCTGCCTTTTCCTTCCTTTGTTAAGGGATCAAGACTCAGGACAATGAGCTCCTAACTTGCTCAGACCACACTAAGGTGAGCCGGAGTAGCCCAGCTTTCAAATTCTGTCACCTACCTCTCTTTTCTCTTCTCCTTTCCCTTTCCTGCTCCATCCCACTAAGTAAGGGACCTCCTGACAGGCACTCAGAGAGAACTCTGCTACCACTGGGGAGGTGTTTGTCCCATCCCCACCACACCAGAAGCACAGAGTAGCAGAAGAATTCTGGCCTCAATCAGGGGGGACCCAATGACCATAGAAGCCCAAACAGGCGGTGCTGCCCCGGGAAGTTTGAGATCAAGAAAACTGGACAAAGAGGACAGTCATGGGTGTCTGCGTCAGACCAACGACAGTGTGACCCTATTATGCAGCCAGATAATAATTGACCAGAAACCCAGAATCTGGGACCTGTTACCTCCCAGCACCAAGACACAAACAAGATTGCTACAACTGGCTTATTCTGGTCACATTTAGTCACATGAAGTCACAGGAGCTCAGAAATTCACCTTTGCTAATAATACTTTGCTCATCCCCTACAAAGACAAAAGAAACTTGGCTGGCTAAAACCATGACCCAGGAATTAACTAACTGGAGATGTGGCCTCCTTCCAGGTGACTCGGCAGGTTTTAGGTGGGCTCGCATTCCTATTTAGCCTCTGTATATCTTTATTTTTCCCCCCTATAAAATCTGTACTTCAGCCTTGGAATTTTGTGAGTTAATGACTCGCTGTGGCTTTGGCCGTGGGTTTAATCTGAAAGCTGCTCATGCTTAGGAACCAGATGATTCAGGGTGTTTGTCTGCTGTGGCGCTGTTGGAACACCCTGTACTCTTGCGTGGAGACACTGGCTGGTGTTAAGAATGGGGTGGGTGCTATCATCTTCCCGCTGAAGTGGGTACTAGTTAGGAGAAAAAGAAACTGATTTTCTTCTAAATTTTAACCAGAAATTAAAGGAAGGAAGGAAGGAAGGAAGGAAGGAAGGAAGGAAGGAAGGAAGGAAGGAAGGAAGGAAGGGAGGAAGGAAAATTTCTTAGGAATTCAAGGCTCTCAGGTATTACTGTCAGTATTAATGAGAACAAGACACTTTCTGGGACCATGAGATGAACACTTTTAACGAAGGTAAAACAAAACCAACACCAGACATTTGCTGCTTGCACCAAGAACACCCTAAAATAATTATATTTGTACTTTCAAAATGCAAAATTGGTGCATTAGATTGGCCTGGAATAACCAGACTTTTATCAATGATGGTTCTGAGTAATTTAAATGCCTGCAGTTTGGGGCTGGCTCCCTGAGGACTGGATTAAGAAGAGATGTTATCAAAATAACCACGAGTTAGAGGAGTGACTAGAAACAAGTGAAATGAGCTTTTGTTAAGACATACATGCTGCTGAAATGAGGGAAACGGGAAAGAAACTGGGGAGGGATGATTTCTTGAGGGCCAGTAGCCGTTCTAAACCCCAATCTGATGGTGATGCTTTCCAGCCCAATAGCCCTAAAGGCTCCCCACTGCCTATTAAAATAACCACTCTTAGATAGCCTGCTTCCAAACCACCTTTCTAGATGCCAGCCTCTCACATCTCCTTCTGGACACCTACGCACAAGCTCCCTCAAAGGCAGGCTTTGACTGGCCTGCAGACTTCGGTGCCCGAATTGTCCCGATCGCTTTCCTCGCCTGCCTGATCCTCCCCATTTTCCCGTGCACTTCCCTGGAGAAAGCACCTGCTTTCCAGGCCCAGGTCAAGTGAATTCCATACTTCCTCTCTTTAACTCCTCAGGCACTTCTCCACATGGCCTTGACTCTTTCTGGGCGCCAATCTTGTTCCCTTAGCTCAGAAGATCATGAGCACTTTCATGGAAGTTAACACAGCTCAGTGACCCCTGTACCCTGAGCCCACTACAGTGTCTGGCACATTCTAGTCACTCAAAAATGTCTGATGTCCTGGTAAGGACATGACCATTCACTGTTGTCAAAGTTAACCCATAAATCTTGATATATCTGAGACATGTAAAGGGACTCGGAGTTTCCAGGACACGCTACAGTCGGGATTCATTCAGGTGACCACCAGGAAACTTGAAGCACGTGAGTGGATAAACAGGAAAGGAATTTGTTTTACAAGTTGCAGGAATTTGCCCACGGGTTGCAGAAGTAGTAACCCTGGCAAGAATATAAAATCACGAAAAAGAAACTAGAAATTCTTTGTATGTGTCGGACAGAGAATGGAATTGGGGAAATTGATAATAATAACAACACATTGCATTTGATCCTTTAAGCAACATTATTTTTTTAATGTCCAAACAGGTGGTCTAAGGAAGAGTAATTGCCTGAGGGACTCCATGAAAAAAAGGGCTCCATAGTAAAAAGTAGGCGAGGGCAACACTGCCTAACACACTTCCTCCTGGGAGAGCCGCCAGATAGAGAGCACAGGGCAGTTAGAAAGGCTCCGAGTCTGCTGTAAAGAAATCTTTAGTTTTGCTGAACCTAGTATTTCTCTTTTTCTTTCTTCACAACACCCACTAAAATTCCTTGTAACTTACACTCTACTGAACACATTTTGAGAAACACTGCTCCTAACAGCTTAGAGCTTTAGGCAGGTATATAGAAATTGCTGATTTCATTTTACCCAGAAGGTAACTAAGACTTCAGAAAATTGGTTTGTTTACAGAGTCATGCAGATTATAAACAATGAAGTCGCTTGTTAATAAATTCCGTATTTGTTGCTCATGGTTTAATATGTACCAGGCATCGTGGTAGGCCTGGGCCGACAGGTCTAGAATGCAGGCCACTTTCCAAAGCTCAGGTCACACAATCTAGACTATTAGAACTGAAAGGGTTCAGAAGAGACCATTTAGTGAAACCACCTCATTTTCAGAAGACAGGGAGTCTGGGAAAAGATAAACAACTCCCTGAGGCTCTACCAATAAAAAGAGGCAGAACTGGAATTCGATGCCGGGGCTTCGTCCCTGAGCCCCCTGCTTCTCATAGTTGACCACTCTGCCTCCAGATCTGCTCACAAAACATAAAATTCAATATGCTTGGAAATCCTTCCAAGACCTTTTATTTTTCACCTCAGCTGGTTCTTGATACAATTGCAGACCCAGCATAAACCCAGCTGAGGGTGCTATTGTCTCTGCTCAGAAAATGTTAAGGGACATTTACAGTCTTAATTATTTCCCTGGCATATTTAACAAATTGAAAGGCACTTAGCTATTTCCATGAGAAGTCACTTTTTCTAGGAACTATAAGTGATACATTTCCAAAATTAAATGTGGATTTTTTATAATAAATTTTTCAGTTCAATGTCTTGGGTAGCTGGGAATGCTTTTATTTTGGGAATTCATGTTAGGACATGTTCTTTCATGAGCCCTGAGACTTCCTCCAGGGAGGTAGTTCTTTCTTTTATCTACAGATCTGATGAATGATATGGATCCTCTGTTCCAGAAAAAGTGGATGCTAGAATACAGTGCTGCCTATCTTCTAGCATCCACTTTTTCAGATCCCGTTAAAACTTCTGCTCTGGGACCTGGGATGTGACATTGCAAAATCATTTATGGTCCTGCTTACTTCAGCTCTTGATTTTGAGGATGCTCGGCTTATATTTGGGAGCTGTAATTATGAAATTGGGAATAGGCAGAAATACAGGTCCTTGCGCCAGGAGTAATTAAAATTTACCTTAAAGTTTCCCCTAACACAGCTACAACAATTGTAAACTAAGGGAAAGCCACTACAAAGACAAACCCCTAAAATAGATATTATGATTTAGCTGTGGTTTATTTAATCATCCTTAAATGAATGGAAAGTAGGGCACACTTAGTATCCTCAACTTTCCCAAGACCTATCAAGAGAGAGTGTAAGGGGGAATTTAAAGAGAAACAAAAGAAAAAATTTTTAAGGTTTAAACATAAAGAGAAATGAAAGAAAATTAGAGTGAAATTTGGACTGATCTGAAGTCTTCACTAGAGGGAAAATCTGGAATTGTTATAAATCAAGACTGTGGAATCTCCATGCCCTCTCCGCTGCTTGGGATAATGCACATTTCTTGTTCCCCAGAATCAGGTAGACTAGCTCCACCTTCTCAGTACTTGGCAGTGCTGGTCTCTAGCCTTCGCTTTCCCAGTCACCTTTCCAAACAACTGTAGGTGGAACATCTTTCAACTATCAGAGAGGGAGGTCAGGAGGTCAGTTTTAAACAATTAACGTTTTCCACTAAAATTAAGAGTTAAAAAGTTAATTGATGAAAATGGAGGCCAAGAAAACATAAAACAAAACCTGTTCTATAGCTGGAAAAGGTCCTGTGTGCATGTATGATTTACAAAAGTCCTAGAAGACCAAGAGCCTGCTGGTTCCCACATGAGCACTACCATTTGGATGTTCCAGTTACAGATTTTGTTTAAAACCAGTACTATAGCCCATGAAGTTGTGTGGGAACATGTGCATTATGAAGAGTCCATCTATGGGCAAATACATTGTCATGGATTTTATTCTTCTAGCCAGGATGGGTGTGACCTGAGACAAGCCAACGTTGAAAGAGAAGGGAAGTAGCATTTTCTTTGCCTCAGTCTAGAACAGGGGTGGGGGCGGGGATAGGAGGTTTGGGAAGTAAAGACCCACTCAAATCATAGGTTTGGGCACCTCCTTTTAAAATTCCTCAGTCGATGTCTAGCTGAAGCTCTGGAGGAGAGGTGTTCACCCAGTTGGAACCTCCACCAATTTTCTTCCAAGTCTTAGCAAGTTAATAGCCAAGGTTTCACAGCCAAATACAGGCTGGGGAAAAAAGTAGGTTTACAGTTGTGAGTACGTGAAACACAGAGTTTATTCTTGTATTATTATTTATTAATAATTGTATAATTTTCCTTATGAACAACTGTAAAACTACTTTTGCCCCACTGCACCTTGTATTGAAGGCAGATTCTTATAGCAAGTACATACCTGTGGCAGTTTTATATCATTAATATCCCAGCTTAATATCCCTTTGTCCTCAGAATCAAAGTCCTCAGGTTCCATGGTAAAGTCAGGTCACCCACCAGTTTCCTTGTATTCAGCTTCCCTCAGCAGTGCTTAAGAATTTTGCTCTTAATATGGTTGGATCAGTCCACTCAAGCAGCTTGGACCTGGAGACTATTTTCTGATGCTAATAAATAAATGACAATAATAATGACAGTTAAAGAGATAAAAATCAGTGCTTGTCTAACTGAAAAACCTGTTTTATTGACATTTTTGCAATCATCAACATACAAATAGAAATAAAATGTAGAAGCTGTAAGGGACCTTGTAGAAGCTGAAATAAAGCTTGACCTGTGGGAATCAGAAGCACAGTGATCATTGCAATAACCCCGGGGTGCTTGCTAGTTCCAGCTTGTGAAGGCCTTGGTAGGAACAGCCGTCACCTGTAGCCAATGGTTAGAATCTTTTCCTCCACATGTACACCTGTGCTTGAGAAGGAGCGCTGGCTTGGGGTTGTTTCCACGAAAATGCCTTTATAAATTAGCTCACATGGGGATGAAGTTACAGGAGGTAAACATCACAACCAGCTGTGTCTCTATAGTATTTTTAAAATCTAAATTGCTATAGAGATTAATTTTGGGCTCCTTGGTAAACCCAGCGTGCACTTTATATCTTCAAATATGATCAAATAACAACATATATGAGATTCTTCTAAAGCCTTGCCATTACTGACATTTTGGACTTGATAATTCTTTGTTGTGGGGGTTATCTTGTGCATTCTAGGGTGTTTAGCAGCATCCTTGGTCTCTGACCATTAGGTGCTAGTAGCAACCATCCCTTTCTATTGTGACAACCAAAAATGTCTGGAGATATTGCCAAACGTCCCCTGGGGGGATTGTATGAGAACTGCTCTACCATAGTGTTTCTTATCATTTAACTTGAAGCAGCCTTCAGCACTGTTGGACTTCATCTCCAGCCATCTCACTCTTTCCTGTCCCCCACAAGAAAATTCTATCTCACTTTACTTTGATTAAATTGTATTATGTAAACAACAGATATTCAAAAACTTTTGTGCAAACTGCATTTCTTCCCCCATGAGGAACACTGCTCTAGTTTCTAATTATAATTGGTTAAAGGAGGTTTACAAGCTAAGAAATAAAGTTAGTTCGAAGTGTTCTACTGAGAAAAAAAATGAATCATTTTGCCGATGAAATGTGCTTGTCAGTGGAATAGGAGGTGAAACATGTTTACATGTACAGTTGGCCCTTGAATAATGTGGAGGTTAGGGGTGCCAACACCCTGCGTAGTCAAAAATCTGAGTATAACTTAAGTCAGAACTCTGCATGCAAGTATTCCCAACTATGGATCCAAAATACTGTATCATTCTCATTTGCTGGTGCTCTTTTAAAAACAAGGGAAATGATGATGTTATGTAGAGCTCTTCAATAGTAAACTCAAACTACAAGTTAGATGAATAGTCCCATGAGCTTTGTTCCTTAGTTCTGTGACTTTATATAACACTAATACTTGTCAATCACCGACAAGTATCCAAGTGCATGGATATAGAAGACTGTTGATCTGAACATAGAAATGAAGTCTGGCCATTAAATAACAAGCTAAATGGACTGGAAGAGACCTCCCAACCCTGCCTATCGACATTCACCTATTACCTAGTATTCACAGACTCAAAGAGCAGACTCAAAGTCCCTGCTTCCCATTTCAAACATCGACATGCAAAATTAAATCCCTATGAGTTTTAAATCAAATTCTATGTTTGGAAAATAAACATTGAGTTAATTAAGAAATGATGCCACAGATTGACTCTCATTTAGAAGACTTTAGTAACAAATATATTAGACAGAAATATCAAGTGAAAATGTGATAGCAACCGTTTTACGTACTTACCTCTTTGAATGTTACCAACAGTGACTCAAGTGGTTTAAAATTTGTTATAGCTAACTGGGATAGGCGGATCTTTTTTCCTAAAAAAAACAAATAACAAAATTCACATTTCCCAAAACGAAAAATACTGTTTTAATCCTAGTTCACATAGACATAATTCTTTTGTTTTTAAGTTAAGGAGAGCAGAATCAAATATCTTGCTGCAGAATAACTACGTTGTTTTTTAAATTTTTTTCCTAACAAAATTTTTGCCAAATAAATGAACATCAATTCTATATTTCCCTGAAGGAGAAGAGCAACACATCGAAAAGACTGTTTGCAGCCCTTAAGACATAAACAAACTCAGCTTTCCTCCAGGATTCAAACATCTTAATTTGTCAAGACTTTCTTTTCTTAAAGCAACCCTGACCAAAGTGTATTCGGTTTTCATCATTTCTACCACAAACCCAACTAGAGCACATGGAACCCTGTAAGAATGGGGTGGCCATTACCGCATCCCTTGGGCTGGCCTCTTCTCAGGATGCCCGGCTTCCTTACCTCCTGACTTCTTACCGAGATGCAGACGAGACCGTGTTATAAAAATCTCATGGCTGGTTCAGGCCCAGCAGGCTCTGGTCATTTTCTAGGCAGAGCAGTTCCCTACCCCAGGTCAAGGTCCACTATGCTAATGAGCTCTGGCAGCGGTCCAATCAAAATCCAGATGCTCGGCTTGGGTAGGTGAGAGCCGGCGGGAAGCCACTTACCCGGCCCCCTTCTCCGCAGAATGCCAGCAATGTGGCCAAGATTCCACCGTGCGCCTCTGAACTTTCACCTCCTTTAAGTAAGAGGGAACTTGAACTAGAATGGGCATGGAGAACCCAGAGGAAGCCCAGATGTTTTCCCCTGGTAATGCCATTGGTTGCGCCCCAGGCAGAATTGACAGTAGGTTCTAATTCTCCCACCATTGACGCCTGCCTGGGTGCGACAGAGAGGGAGAGAGACAGAACAGACAGACATTGCACCGAGGGAATTTACTGGAACAGACATTGGGTAGCCAACAGCTGCTAAACCAGAAACACCAAAATGCTACCTGATGCCTAACAACGATGCCCCAATAATTCTGAGTGTTCCACTCTCCCCAAAATAATATAGTTCTCCTTTCTAGACATGTCCTCAGCAGTCTGGGCAACGGCCCAAATCAGTTAAGTTCATCTGCTATGTCCCAGGCAGTCTGCTAGGCTCTGGAGATAGTACGAGGGAGAATTAAAGCCATTAAGAAGCTCAGCCTATTTCCAGCTGAGCGCTGGAAATATCAGGGGAAGCACTTTGTCAAGTATATGATTGTCTAACCACTATGCTGTACACCTGAAACTAATACAAAATACTACTGAATGTTAACTGTAACTGGGAAGAAGAAAAAAGTTCAGTCTAGGGGAAAAGATGAAAAAAGACACTAAATAAACCCAAGATAACTGGATGGACAGAATCGAGGCAGCCTAGAAGGAATGTAGAAGGGAAAATTATTAATCTGGAGGGAAGAGACTCGGGAAAGTTCTTTCACAAAAAATGATGCCTGATCAGCCCTTTAAAGGACAAATGAATATTTGTCAAGGCATCAAGAAATGGAAAAGGCTGTTCCAGGCTGTGGCAATGCCGTGGGAAAGGTAGAGAGGTATGAAAAGTGTGGTGTGCGCAGCATCACGAGAAGTCAGTGCCTGCCGGGAAGGCAGACCGTCAGAGATAGGCCGCGGAGGGAGGAATGAACAGGCCAGAAGGCAAAATGCTTGGGAGGCTTCACAGGTTGTGTCGGGCGGTCCCTGAGCGACCTTCGGCAACGCTGAGAAAATTCCCCACCAGTCATTCAGTCCATACATGAACTTTGTCTTGAGCCGTCTCGCTCTTTCCTGTTGTCCACAAGAAAATTCTGTCTGGCTCTACTTTGATTAAATTGTATCATGTAAACGATATCCAAAAATTCTTTCGCAAACTGCATTTCTTCCCCTATGAGAAATACTGCTGTAGTTTCTAAATATAATTGGTTAAAGGAGATTTACAAATTAAGAATGAAAGAAAGTTAGTTCGAAGTGTTCTACTGAGGAAATACTAATCATCTGGCAGGTGAAATGTGCTTCTTAGCAGACTATGCTGTGAGCCATGTTTCACTGAGTTTGTCTTGGCTCGATTGCCTGTGCTTTAGCTGACTGATCTGCTCTTTGCAGTCCCTCCCCTTGACCAGGAGGTTCTTTCTCCATCCCCCAGATATACTGGAGCAGGACAAAGCCTAGCGTTGTGCCAGCTGGCAAAAGAGGAATGACTGCCGCGTCCAGCTCCAGAATCACAAAGCAGGACAAAGGGTGGATTTGGGAGCTGAGAGGGGATAAATTGATCACTGGCACACCTGCCATGATTATCCACTTGCTTAGGTCTCTTTCTAAAGTGTCTTCTTCCATCCGTGTATCTAAACCCTACCCCTCCTTTAGGAGCTCCCCCAATGCCATCTCCTCATGAGACCTTCCCACGCGATTCTGCAGCACATGATTTCTTGCTTCTGCGTGGTTCCAGAACTCTTCATTCTGAAATATGTGCTGTCTTCTATCAGTTGGAACTAACATTTTCTTTTCTAATTATAAAATAAACTTATGATCTTTTGTTAAAAAGCCATAGTCTCATCTCCCATAGATTCCCACTGCTAATGTTTTGGTTATGTCCTTTCAGACTTTTGTTTTCCCTACATAGACCACCAAGCGTAGGTATTACTGTGCCCAACTGTAATATGACTGTATGTGCTAGTGCTCTTAACTGTTCCTAACTGTTGGTCCTGGCTTTCCACCTAAGCTGCTGGTTCCTTCATGGCAGAGTTGGTTACCCCCCACGTTCCTTCTCCTCACAGAGACTCGCTGGACTCCCAGCTGCAGCATCAGATCCGTAGCTGTCCCAAGAACTAACCCTACTCTGACACAGGAGGGAACTGAGGACTTCTGGCTCCACGCTCTGATTGAGCTGTGACAAGAATGAGCAGATATTCCAACTGATAACAGCACTTCTGCTTTCTTAAGGCTATGGTCCTAACGGTTCACCCATTTCCTTCCAATTAGATGCCTGTTATTAAGAGCAGCAATCACAGCAGCTTTCCTCAACTGAACACTTACAATGTGTCAGGTGCGGTGATAAACACTTGA